ACTATTATTTTTTGTTTTGTGGAACCCAGGCTAATGGGGTTAATTCGTTTAGAATTTATAAGTTGAAAATTTTTTTTACTCATTTTAAGAGTTTAAAATTTAAAATATTATTTAAATAATAGTTTAAAATTTATGATGTTTATTAACCCAAGTTTAAATTATATTGCATGCATGTTGGAGTATTTTATAAGTCATTTTGAAGAATGTTGAAAGCAATTAATGTGTTCATCTCAAAAGCGTCTCTAACAAATAAAAAATTGATCGGCAATGATCCGAATGGTCTCTGGTTAGATTCATATGTTTCATCTTGAAAAACCAAATCATGAGATGGCATTAATTTACGAGGAGTAGTATATCAAGAGGGTCAAATGTAATTAATCAGCGGTAGTATATTTGAAAAGATTTAAATACTTTACTGATATCAATTATCAATTAATTGTAATGGTTTTCGTTAGTTTATGTGAGATAATTAAAAATTTTATTTATTAATCATTTCTAATATATTTTACAAAAATAAAAAATTAAAACTTATGAACTTTATCTAAAAATTTAATGAATTTATAATTTTATTTCTATTAAATATATACTTCAATAACATACTTTCTTTCATAAATATTTAATTATAGAGAAAAAAATTATGAGAATAATTTAATAATGTGATTTATAAATAGAATATAAAGATTCTCTCTCTCCCTCCTTCTCTCTCTCATATAAACAGTAGTAACTTTTTAACCATTTTATCAGACAAAATCACATACTAACAAAACTTATTAAATACATTTTACAATCTTACTTTTAAAAAATATATAATTTTTTTAATAATATCATTCATTTAATACACTATTTATGAAATGATAATATATAGAAAGGGTTATTTTAAAAAAATATCATTAATTAAACTTTATTTTTATTAAAATATTTTATATTTTAGAATGTCGACTTTATCCTAACAATTTCTCACAATTTGGGACAAAGAGATGAAGGAATATTTCATTTTTTATGTAAATTAAATTATAAAAAATACTCCATCCGTTTTAAATTAGAAGACAATTTACAATAATATTACATATGTCAATAAAACATAATTATGACACATTTCAAAATAACTTTTTTAAAACAAAACTATGAACTTTCAATAATACCTCTACACAATTAATTATTATATTATAATATTATTTTAATTCTTTCTTAATCTGAAGGATAATATTAAAAAAATATAATTAATAAAATATTATTTTTTTAAAGTTGTTTTATATTTTAGAGCAGCCAAATTTTTTTAAAATTATTTTATAATTCAAGAGGGAAATAATATCAATTTCTTTGACTTAAATATAGCCTATGGGATATGAAGTTACCATGGGTTAAAAAACAGATAAATATTATCCAAGGAAATGGTTTAAAAAAAAACAGATAAAATATGGGGGAGGATAGAAAGGAGGAACATGAGCGGTGCACGTGTCAAAACCCTAGAGCAAGATGGAGGTGATAGTGATAGAAGGGAGAGGAAAAATACAGACAATATATAATTGCAGTGAAAATGGTCCACACACACACAGTCACAGCGTTGTGCCGACGGACAACCCATAACGTTGAAAGTTGAAACCTTACCCCTTCTCTCTCTCTCTCTCTCTCTCGTTGAAAGTTGAAACCTTACCCCTCTCTCTCTCTCTCTCTCTCTCTCTCTCTCTCTCTCTCTCTCTCTCTCTCTCTCTCTCCCTCCCTCCCTCCCTCCGGTGGAGGTGGTGGCTACGGCTGTACAAAAATCTTTTAATCCTATATAACTTAGTCTAACTTAATATGATTCAGATTTATATAAACACTGATCTTTTATGATTAAAAAAATTAAAAAATTAGACTATTTTTTTAAATTGAACTGAACAAAAGACTGAACATCTAAATCACTTAATTTAATCCGATCCTATTAATTTATTTAATATAATTATAAGTAATTTATTTTTGACAAATGCTTCAAGTATAATTCACGCTAAAGATGTGATTGTATAAAGATTTATTAAGTTTGTTTTCAAATTGTTGTTATAATGTAGTGTTGTTGAAATTTGTTGAGTGTTATTTTTATTAAAATTATAAATTTAAATTATTTGAACTATAATAAAAATATTTTTTATTGTTGAAAATTATTATGGATTTGTTATTATTATTATAAATATTTTTATTATTTTAATTAAATTTATTAGGTTGAAATGAATTATTGCCTCTCATAGAGAAAAAAAAAGCTAAGTGAGTACTCAACTAACAGGATCAATTTTCCAATCATATGGACCAAGTCTTGTCCTGTTAATTTTCATGTTATCACTGAATAAGACCAGAATACAGGTTGCCTAACTCAATTTTTTTTATGAAAGAGACCAAACTTCAGGTTAGGTTGAAATCCAGTATCGTCCAGTCTTTTTTGCCGCGTTATGTGGGCACTATCACCTTTCCAATTCTTGCTCGCTCCAAAAGTAAATATGATTAAAAAATATAAAAAAATAACATATGTATAGGTCAAGCTAGGCAAGGCAAGATTTGGCCCTTGCTCGGTGTCCGACTCAAAGCTTAGGCTAATGTACCCAAATGGCTCGGGTTGGCTTGGATTTCAGGCGATATGAATGGCTTTAACTAACCTTACTATATTTTCAATGCTTAAATTATAGATTTCTAGTTAAGTTAATACAATTCCTCTAATCAATTGAACCAAATGTTTTATGGTATCCAACATTCTTTCTTTTTCCTTTTCCCCAACCATTATCACATTACAGTAGCTTGTAAATACATAGTTTTTCATTTTTTTTAAATGAGATAAAGGTGTAAGTTAGGTTTTTTATGCTCAATGAAATATTTTATTTATAATTAATTTAACCACGGTTTTGCCCATTAATCATTGAATATATGCCTTAACTTATTTAATGGCTGGTCCAATTTCTAATAGATTGCTTATTAAAATATGTCTCAAGGTTGAAAAAAATGCTTATAAAAATATCAAGTTGAAGTGAATGACATGTACTCTTGTATTTCTTGAACAAGTGACTGGGATTGGACACAAAATTCTTGCATTATGCATATACAGCCTAGTTGAAATAAGTTTTGCAATTTGCATTTCTTATTCTTATGGCCCCACAAAAAAAAAGAACTTAAAAAAAACTTACTTATTACACACTAATAAAATTTTTATGTTAACTAGATTTAAACTCGCATCCATTCAAGTATAAGTTGCAAATTTGCCAATCGGATGACTATTGCTTGGCAACAATAAACTTTTATAGTATATTTGTTAAGTTATTAGATATGTATGTATAGAAAGATATTTTCTTAGTAATAAAATCAAATATTTTTGGTAGTTCAACATGTAATTAATAATTTTTTTAAAATGTCTTTAATTGAGGTTTAATTAACAATATTTTTTAATTGAGACATCATATTAAATAAGAGTAAATATTAAAAATGTATAATTTTAAATATCATTTACTAATTTATTGAAAGTGTAAATTAGTTAAAAGAATTTTTTATTTTTGAATGAAAAGAGTTTCTACGATGTTATTATGGACTATTGATAGAGCAAATAATTTGTTAAGAAGTGGTATGGGTGGGGTGCAGAGAAGTTTTGCATATGAGTAACTTGAATTTGCTCCAAATTGAACTGAGGAGACATAACATTGGACAAACTAATTTGGATCAGGTTGAGATATAACTCCTTTAAATAGAAAGTTCTACAACTAATGCTATTTCACTTAAAATTTGACACCATTTTTGGAAACTTTTTTACAAGAGGCACTTGATATTCAAACATTTTTTAAAAAAATGATAGTTAAATCTCAAAATATTAAATTAATATCAGTTAAATCCCTAACAAATTTTACAAAAAAATAAATTAAAAATATCGATATAAATTATTACAAATACAAAAATTTTAATTATAAGTAAATATTAAATATTAAATATAATTTTTAGATTGTAACAAAAATATTTTTATAATTATTTAAATTAATAGTCACTATAATTTATTTTGTAAAAAAATTTATTAAGAATTTAATTACATTCATTCATTTTGATATGACCTAATTGCGATGCTTTCATTTTTTTTTTTTCAAACAATGTTACTTGGAAACTTTTAAAAATGGTACTATATTGCCATACCAATAACCCAGATACACGTAACCATCAAATCTCTTGCTTTGACCAACAAACGGACACGTGTCATCTCCTCCCTCCCTCTCTCCGAAGTGTTGCTTCTTTCTTCTCAATCGAATTTCCACTGGAAACAACACTTCTTTAACTTCCTTGCTTTCGCTTTTCCAATACCAGATCCATACATACATCTTCACTTACTTTGTAAGACAAGACAGACAGCACTTCATTGCATGGGATGAAATCATTCTCCAAATTTTTTATAATCTTAATACCAAAAAGTATTAAAAAAAATGGGATCCCAACGAAATGCTCCTTCTGAAGCACTAAATAAGTAAATACTTAATTAATCTTTTAAAAATGTAGCATCTTTTCAATTATACTTTCATCATTCATTAAAAATGTTTTTAGCAATGATAATTAAAATTTTAATTCATTATTTTTTGAAATCAATAAATAAAAAGTATAATTAAAATATAATTATCAAAAAAACCTATTAATCCTATATTTTGGAGTAGGCAGGCGGGAACAGAAGAAGCGAGAAAAATGTGAGTAGGATCAGATGCAGCGCAAACACCTGCGCCACCATAGAACCGCCACAAAAGCTGCCTCCCCTTTAACCAGCGGTATCCCACGCGCACTCACTCCCCTTCGTCCCTGTCATTCTTAAATGCCCATATTAAGTAATTTCACCGTTCCCCGTTTCTAAGTTCTAAACCCTATTCCTCTCATTCCCTCCTTTTATATGTTTTTTTTTGGTAACAAAAATATTAAATAAATTTATTGGAGTCTCGCTCTAAATTCAAAGAGTGCTTGACAGTAACAAAATTATAGATTACTAACTTTAATAAGCATTTGATCTACTTACCAAAATTTGTCCATTACATTGAAACATGAGAGTACATGGGAAAAAAAAAGGGAAAAAATCTTGAAAACTTTGAAATTCGCTACTCATATTAAACATGAACAAATTAATTTTCATTAAAAAAAACATGAACAATTAATAATTACTAAAAACCAGATTGCAGTGCCAGGAGGAGGATGCAACAACAAAGAGCAAAATCCTACAGAAAAGAGCCAAACCAAGAATCTCAGATGCTCCTAAAAATTTTTGAATACTTTGATGATGATGATGATGATGACAGAGAAGAAAGTCCGAAGAGATGCCTGTAGCAGCATTGGATAGCAGGCTCAGCTCTGACTCAGAGCGCTTCGTAGGCTGGCCGGTGAGTGAGAAAGTGAAGGAGGACTAGCTAGCTATACAGATAAGGCTCGCTCGCCAACAACAATCTCTCTGATTAGCTATTCGTCAAATCCCTTCCCACTTCTTCACCGTCTCTTCTTCTGTCAGCATCGTCATCACTACCCATCCCGCCGCCGTTTTCGCTGCCGCCGCCGCCGCTCTGCATGTCATCCTGTTGCTTGCCGCCGCCGCCTCCTCTATTCTCGCCCTCCACCTCACCACCATCATCATTAATGGCTTCTCCTTGTTGCTTCTGACCCACGATCGGAAGTGGCTCTGTCAGCTGCCTCCCATCCCGCGGCGGAGAAAACACCACCGGCAAGTAATGCTCCACCTCGCATGGGAACTTGGAATTCTTGAAGTGCTCTTTCAACGCTTCCAAACCCTTTGTCAGGTTACAAAGCTCTCATCAGAGTAAACTAACTGTAACTTTGTTGTTCATATGTTGAGTTGAACTCAACAGTTAAATTACCTGAACTCTCGCGTATGTGACTTCGCATATTTTTCTGGAGTTGAAGACTTCCCAATGTTGAAGATGGAATGCTTTGTAGAGCCTCAGCGTCGCTTCTGGTGATGTCATGTTCACAAACCCATACCCCACGTTACACTTGTTGCTGTTTCAAGTTTAAGGCACGAGCTAAAATTAAAATCAAAATACACGAAAGAAAGGCTGTTCATTTCCCAGAGATTAAATGATGAGGAGAAATGGAAGATACTTGAAATCAATGGGAAGGTAAACGAAATCGTAAGAGGAGATGGGTTGGTCGTCGTCGGCATCGGAAATCTGCTCGTTGCAGTGAATGCAGTGGTTGTCCAGCATGTTCAATAGCAGCTTCTGACTGCAACACAACACAACACATGTCAAACACGATTTCAGATGGGTTGGTTTAAATATATTTATTTTATATAGGAAGGTTGAATATAATAGTAAACTAAATGTGAGGAACAATCATGGTGGAGAAGAAAGCAGCAGATTGACCTGTACTTGTTGGGTATGTTCTTGATCATGACAGTAGTTCTGGAATCTTTGCAACTCGATTCCACAGTCGCATCTTCTTTAATAAGAAACCGAGTTTCCTGCTTCTTTCCTTGCTTTCCCTTCCAATTCCTATTTCTGGGTTGCTGCGGCTGCTTCGTGCTTCCCGCCACGGTCTCGCCGCCGCAGTTTTTCACGGCGGCGTTTCTCACCGCAGGCTCTTCCGATTGCTGCTTCTCTTCTTCCCCGCTCAAATTCGCCAAACACATTGTCGTTTCCAAAGAAACACTCTTGATAACACTCTCCAGATTAGCGTTATCATTCCCCTTGTTCCCTGCTATTAATTCCTTCGACGACAATTGGGGTTGAGGAAGATGATGAGCCCGAGGAGGAGGAGGAAAACGACGTGCGTTTTTGCGCGCAAATGGTGGTGGCGGGGGAGGAGAAGGGGGTTGGGAATTAAACGGCTTTGCGTATTTGGAGATTGCAGGTGGGTTGAAGAACTTCCTGCCATGGCCACCAGGACGACTGAACTCAATCACAACGGCTTTACCGTTAATTTGCTTGCCATTCATTTCCCTCAATGCCTTGGCCGCATCTCTGACGTCAAAGAATTCCACAAACCTTTGATTCTTCTTCGACGGCGTATCTCTCAGTTCCCTCACAGGACCTTCAAATTAAAAAAAAAAAATACATAGAAGATAAGAAGGCCAAGAAAGACCAAAAAGATAGCGAAAGTGGCGTGAGGACCAGAGTCGAAAACGTCATAAAAAGTAGATAAAAAGAGTGAGATAGAGACGTATCATCAGGTCTGTGTTGCGTTGTGTTGTATTGCTCCCAAACCCACACAATACAACACAACAAAACCCAACTGGCATTATAGTCAACAGTCCCCACAAAAAAGTCCTCTCCGACATGGCTAAGGTCAGCAAGCAAGCAAAACGATATCAGACCCAATAGGCTTTTTTTTCTTCTCTCTTTCAAGGCGCTTTCAGATCTCGTTTCGTGGGTTACCCAATTAAAGGAAAATGCAAACGGACGAAGCGAAACGTAAAAGGCAATGATGAATGAGATTGAAAACTGGCCAGAAACGTTTTATTTACCGAATGCCTCGAAAGTTTGTCGTAGAGTCCCTGCAGACACATCCGAATCCAAATTGAAAATCACTATGGTCCCTTGATTTTGGCCTTGAGGAACGGCGTTGTAAGGAGGGACGATATATTGGGCCCAGACCGCACGGCCACCCACCAGCCCACGCGCTGGTGGCGGCAGCGGCGGGGCGTAACAATCCGATTCTAACGCCGAATTGCTCGACTTCAACGCGGAGGAATAGAAATTACGAAGCCTGGTCTGTTGCTGCATGTGCTGCCTCCGAATCGCCATTAACGCCGTCTCTGCATGTCTCAGATCATAGAAATGAACGGTCACTATTCCTTCTCGAACCCTCTCCATCTGCACCCCCCTCACATCGCCGAACACCTCCAATTCCCTCCTTAACATCGACTCGCTCACCACCTCCGCCGGCACGGAGCTTAGCAGCAGCGACCGCGTGGGCGAGGTAGATGAGGACGGCGACGGCGAGGCCGGCGGCGCCAGAGGGCCAACGTACGCCGCTGGGGGACAGAACTGCGGATACGGAACGCCAATAGGAGCAGCATTACAGAATGGTAGGGGCTGAAGTTGAACGCCGCTGGTCGGTGCGTAAGGGTAGAACAGTTGAGCCGGCCTATATAGCGGTTGATTTGTGGGCGTGAACTCTTCAGCTCGGGGGTCTAAGCTTCCCGGAAACCGGACTAGACCGGTTTCAGCCATGGATAAAAAAACCGGGGAAAGCAGAGAGATAAAGAGAGACGAAGCGATTCCCCGGCAAAATGGGATGAAGGGGAAAATGAAATCAGTATTTTGTATGATTACGAAGCTGGAAAAAAAAAAACCGTACGTGCGCCTCCGGCTAGCTTGGTGGCGGGTTTTAGTTCAGTGTGTAATCTTTTTACCACTAATAATAAGGGCTATGGGGTTACAGACTACTTGACGTTTGTGGATGGCTTTGAAAAATCACTCGCCTCGCAAGGATGAGGAGGAGAAAAGCTCAGAGAGAGATACTGAGAGAGAGGGAGAGAGGAGTAGTGGTGTCCGTGTTTCCTCATTCTCCACTTTCCTTTGAGGGCCACAGTTGCTAAAAATGTACTTTTGCCATCATCTGAGGTCAGTGGTGAAATGACGGGACTGCCCTCGTGGGCGTGTATCGGTACTCGGGTTCACTGTTGTCTTCTAAATTTTTTTCAGTAAAGAATTTACTTCCTCGATTTAGATGGATTTAAGATATTTTTTAAAAAATTAAATATTAAAATATTTTTTAATTTTTTAAAATATAATTATTATTTTTTAAAAATATTCCTATTAATAATAATTTTATATATATTATATAATTTTTAAGAAAAATAAATATAAAAAAATAGAGTTAACTTAAAAGTAGATAATTATTTTATTAAGGGGTGAGATTTAATTAAAAATATTTTATATTTTTTAAACGAAAAGAATATATATTTAGTTTAATTAAATCATCTCTAATTGTTATCACAATAAAAAAATAATTAAATTAATGAAATTGTCAAAATAAAAAAATTTTAAATTTACTTTTATCAAACACATTATTTTTAAAAAATTTATCTCTTTAAATAATATTTTACTCTATTCACAAGAAATTATGAAGAATTATAATTAAGAAAAGTAATTAATAATTTACTGTTTGTGTAAAATGATTTTTAGAAAGGCATCAATTTTTATTTTGTAAAAAGATGACTTATATTATACACTATTAAACTTGAACATTGATAATTAATGCAAGAATTTTAAAAAATTTTAAGTAAAACATTAATTTCTAAAAAAATTTATATTTTTTTAATTATGTCTTTAGCAAATATATTATATTAATGATTTGATAATAATTAAAATTTTAATATATTTTTTAACAAAAATAATAAATAAAATAAAAATATAATTAAAAATATAAAAATTATCTAATGCTCCATCTTTTGAACCAATCAAAATTTTTAAATTACTACTGTTTTTTAATCAAATTAAGACAACTTTGCACGTATTTTATTGTATCAAAATATAAACAACTTAATAAAAATAAAATTTTATTAATAATATTTTTTTAATGTTATTTTTTATGTGGAGAAAGAATTAAAATAATAATAATATAATGATTAAACGTATATATCTTAAATTAATTTATAAACTGATATAAAGATAAAAAGGGAATATCATGAGCAAGAGGGAGGGAGCGCTCTTTTTTGGCATCCCAGGCTGGAATGAATAATTTTGATCGAAGCATTTGAGCGGGTGGGATTGGGGACGGGGGATGTGGGAAGGAATGTGATCCGTACACGTGGCGATGAAGGAATTTCCAAGCATGGCAAATAAAAAAAGTAGTACACACAGATATATAAGGTTTGTTAAAATCGGACCATAATAATGGCGCTGCCTCTCCCTGCTCCGCCGTACTCTTTCATGTTCGTGTTTTGACTTTTGACCACTCATCATTCCCCTTTTTATAATTTTCTCCCTGTTGAACCCCTCCTTTCCTTATTTACTTTGTCTCACTCGCCTTTTTTTTTTTTAATTTTTTTTCATTCATTTACCTTGTTTTGACATACTAAATATATTATTTCTTCTAATTCAAATTATAAAATATAAAATAATGCAAAAAATAAAATTTTATTAATAAATTTTTTATTTTATTTTTTAACTAAAATAAAAATAAAAATGATATTATAATTTAATAGTTAAGTGTATAGAAATATTTTTTTTTTAAATTTCTAGTTTTATTTTAAAAAAATAAATTTATAAAAGTATTGTTATTGTGATTCACTGGCATGCCTATGCATATCTCAACCTGTCTTAAAATTTGTGATATATATGTAAAGTTAAAAATAAGGGTTGGATTTAAAGGGTCACTTATTTAAGTTTATTTTTATAAGAGTTTGGATTTAAAAAAATGATATTTTTTAAGAAAATTGAGCTTTTAAGTTTGACCCTAATAGGTTTTGAAAAATGAGCTTCGGCAACCCTTAAATATTTTATTTTTCTTAAAAAATAAAATATTTTTATTTTTAAATTAAATTTAAACTTTAAAATATACGTTTATAGTTTTAAATTAGAATTTTTATTATTTATTATTTATTTTTAAACATTATAATTTATTTTTTAAAAAAGTATATAAAATATTATAATTAAACATTTTAAAAAATAAAAAAATAATAATAAAGACTTACGGAGACCTTTATATAAAAGCCAAACTTTAAAAAATAAGATATTTTAAAAAAATTAGGTTTAAGAGTCCAAGTTCATAAAGGTTGAACCTGCCTGTTTTTCAACTCTATGTATAATTGTATATGCTTTTTTTAAATTATTTAAAAAATATACATAAATTATTATATCAAAAATTATATTTATTAAGAAATTTTTGTAAGACCCGGTGTGTCATGTCATTTTTGCTCTATTTAATAAAATTTTACCTGCTTAATCAAATAAAATATTATATATTATTATTTTTAATAATTTTATTTTTTTACATTTTCTCTTTATAATCATTAATAATAGAATTAATTTATATTTAAGTCTATCTGAATAATATTTTTAAAATAAAATATTTATTTTATTTTTTGTATTTTTTTTATTGTTGATAATAGAATTAATTTATATTTAAAGTCATTTGAATAGCATGATGATGACATGATGTATTAGATTTATACAAAAATTTCTCATACTTATCCTTTATTTCTATTCTTCATCATTACATAATAACCCAAAGTCGCATGCCTCGGAAGAATATGACTCGTCATTATATCAATATCAATATTCATTCAATTCAATATTACTATAAAATTAAAAAATTTGTTGAGAATTATATGCTGCACATGCTCTTCTAGAATTTCGAGTACTTTTTCCATATTTCTACTATCTACGAAACACTCCATCTATATTTTTGTAATTATTCATTTAATATTTCATTACATACTTTAATAAAAATAACTATAAAAGTCTTAGTAAAATTGTAAATTTCAAATTATTATCTCTCCTATATATTCAACGAGAAAAAAGATATATGGTTTGAAGAAAACAATTATATTACATATTGGCATTGATTTGAATTCGCAAGTTACAAACTCATGGAATAATGTGAACTACTTTTTATATAAGTAAATAAAAAGTTCATGGGAGTAGGCTCTTAAAAATGTTATGGAGGATAGATAATTAACTCTCACAATTTTTTTTAAATTACATATAGGTTTTATTAAGCAAATTTATTTACAAACAAACCCCATAAAATTTGAAAACCATAGCCAAATCTCTTAAGGTCTGAGTGTAATTTAAAATTAAAATTTAAAGACAATAATACTCATATTAAACATACATTACATCAATCAAATAATTAATTTATAATTACTTTATCAACAATTCATAATTATAATTTTAACTTTTTACAACTGTAATTTCATATATTCAATATTTAAACAATCATGCGTTATTAATAAAGTTTAATATTAATTATTTACAACTATTTTATCAGTAATTTATAATTATAACTTTAAATTTTTACAAATATACTGATCAATTTAATTTAATTATTAGATATATGAAGTTATAGTTATAAAAAATTAAAATTACAGTTGTAAATTATTGATAAAATAGTTATAAATTCTGTGAGCGAGGTAATGTGTATATGTTTAATAGGAACATTATTGTCCTTTTATTTAAATTTTAAATTCTACTCAAGTCCCAACTCTCAAGAAATTTAGTTATAATTTTTAAATTTTATAAAACTTATTTATAAATAAGTTAAACTGTATATAATTTTTTTATTTTTTTTATAATAGAAGTATTTATAAATTATTTACCAATAAAAAATAATTTGTCAGTTTTTATTGTTCTTGTCAGCCAATACTTAATTAGTTGTGTCTTAGTCGACCAAATTGGTTGCCACGTAGAGCTGTTAAGGAAAATAACAAACAAGGACCTTGGTGAGAGATTTATGATCTTAAAAGACCTTAAATTTGGAAAATGACACTGAAGGTAAACCAGATTTTGCCTGATCACCCAAAACCACACTTAAGCTCAACACATGAAGTAGAGTACACGTACCAACAACATAAAATATTAGTAAAGGTGATAATTTGTAAGCTGAAAAATTTTAGAACCAAATTTGAGAGTTCAAAAGAGTTTATTCATTTTTGAATAAATCTGAAAAAATTTGAGCAAGCCTGAACCTAAATTTGCTTACCTTGAATACTAAAATTCCTTTTTTATTATTAAAAACTAATATAAAAATAAGATAAAAATTAAAAATATTATTTTTTAAAATTGAAATTAGATAAAAATAATATAATATAATATTTAAAAAATTTGGATATTCAGTCCAGCCCAAAAACTTGAGGAATTAGGATCGAGTTTGGTTATATAAATTTTTTTATATATTAAAATATTTTAAATTCAATCCTAACAGACTCAACCTAAATTGAGCCTGTCATGTTCAAATTACTTATTTTACTTATCAGTTTCTCTTCATCATAGATAGTAGCAACTCGTCATGAGCCGACTTCTTCATAGCAAGATGGAGAGAACGCAAAGAGAGCTGCGAGACTTTGAGTGATTATTATAGCAACTTGCTTTAAAGGAAAATAACAAAGAAGGACCTTGCAAGGGAATTAATAACATTGAAGGGCCTCAAATTTGAAAAGTGACATTAAAAAACCTCCTTCAATGATACTCACCTAGTCCTATTTATAGAGTAAAAAGAAAAAAAAATTAATCATATTTATAGAGCACTTTTAAATTTTCAATGCTCCTTTTTATATTTTTGCCCTACTAAATGTTTTAAATAAAAATATCAATAATAAAATTTGAAAACATTTATTGAAGGTAAAAATGAAAACTTATTAAATTTTAAGATAATGTTAATAAGATTTAATGTTTTTTTTATTTTGATAAAACATGTTGAAAGTAATTTATAAATAGAATTAAAATGTGTAAATACAAGGAACACATTACTCAATGCGCTGAACGTAGTTGCAACTGTGCTTTCCATTATATTGGAGACGCTACCCCAACACACACTAACCCATT